CCACTCGTTTGGACCCCAGTGCACCCGGTGATTGTGGTTTGGCCCAAGCGCTGGCGCTTTTTTGGCCCTGGGGGCGATCCAGTTCCCAGCCGCGCCCCCAGGTTTCGGCCCCAAGACGCGCATAAATTCAAACTTGCCATTTTCTGCTACCCAAAAAAGCGCCACAAGTTCGGCGATCAACAGCTACCACAAAGTTCGGCGATCACCATGCCACAGTCCGTCGATCACCATGCTACAGTTCGGCGATCAAACCCATACTTGAAAGTTCGGTGTTCAAAAGGAAGGATGCCTAGGCAATGCATCAAATGACGGTGGGCTCCTCTAGCGTCGGACTAGCGGGCGCAGGGTGCTCGGCGTCGGTGTGGCTTCTGTGCTCTGGCTGGTCGGCCTCGGCGTGGCTTCTGTGCTGGGCATCGTGGCATCATCATTACTCGGGCTTGGTGGCGGCGTTGGGGTCGGCGTGGGAGTTGCTGCGATCGACGACGACATCTGGTTCAAGATGAGGCCGTGCTTCGCCAGGTACCACGCCTTGACCTGCTTGTCCGTCGTCGACATGTCCGCACCCATCAAGAACGCCAGGTCGGTGTTCCTCTTCTTCACGACGACATTTGTCCGGAGTAGGTCGAGCTTGACGGCGTTGTTCGTCATCAACATCGACCACCGCGCCTTGGATTTTTCTTCCCTCTGGGCGATGTGGTTCTTGGCATCGTGATGCACTGCTCGATGGACACTTGCAGCCGCTCAGTAGCCGGTGCGGTGTCCTTTGCCGTCTTGGCTTGTTTGTTGCCGTTAGGGCGCCCATCCGCCGCCCTCGGCGTGGGCGGGTCCGACTTGTACGTCTCCTTGACCTTGGCGAGAGTGCGCCGGACATCCGCCCACTTCTCGCACTTCTCGATCTGGGTGAACACGTGGAAGTACTTGAACTCTTGGTCGCTGCAGCTGTCCTGGCGGTACATGGTGAACATCTGAACCATCTGCACTAAGAACAAGTGTCGGCGACATACATGGCAAAAAGAAGCGAGAGCTGGCGTATGTGCATACCTGACCCTCGATGCTGGCGCCGCTTTCCGGGCGAGCCGCGATCTTCTCGATGATCCCATGCCATTTTGCAGGCCGTTTGGATGACCGCCCAATGAATGGCCTTCGAGCCGCGCTGCATGTGGATGGTGGCGAAGTAGGGGTCGACCAGCTTGCGTTCATCGAACGCTGACTTGATGCGCGTCTAGTACGTGTCGGTGTTCTGGTTTGTGCCGGTGATAGGGTCGAGGCAGACGGTCTTCCATGCTTCGACGAGGCACTCGTCTTCTTTGGACGTCCACTTGACGCGCGGCTCGCCCATCCTGGACCCCGCTTCTTCATTTTTTTTCTTTCCTTGCCGGTGCAGGCGCCGACTCCTCCTCCTCCTCTTCCTCCTTCTCCTCCTCGCCGTAGTTGATCTTGTCATCCATGACGCCAGCGAGGTCCATTGTATCGTCTTGCGCCTGGAACCCAAGGGAGGCGGCGGCGGCGTTTGAGCCGCTCGTGATGATCTCGTCCATGTCGGCTTCCGTCGCGTCGGGGTG